AAGGCCTTCATCAAGAACCCTCAAGGTACAAATCAGAAACTCTCAAGAATCAAACTCCTATACGCAACGCTAACTGAACTGTTTCTCACGCAGACTCCGGTGAACCAGTTTCCCAGGCCTGAACCAGAACCAGTCATTATCTCAGTGCTTGTGAAAATAAACTCTGTTAAACCTTTTACTCCTGTTTCCGTCTCAGTGGTGTTCTGCATAATTGGGTCACACCAGTGAACCCATCATGACACCAGCAAAACCTGAGCCAGCTTCTCAGATCTGTTATCTGATTTTTGTGAGCAAGTCTGACCCTGTGTTTTTCTGCCTCTTAGATCCTGATTTATCTGGATACCTGCCTAATCCTGGAGAAAACAATCGCTTCCTGGAACCTGCCTCTCTGTCCTCCGCCTCAGCCTCTGTCTCTGCCCTCAGTCCTCAGCCAGCTGACCAGCCTCTGGACCCACAAGGTTCCCCCCCTGCAGATCAGAATACCCTCTGAGCAGGTATTTATCCAAGTCACCGTTGAACTGCAAGTTTCCTGGATCCACTCTAACAGATCTGTCCTCCTCTAGTGCTTCCCACTCGTGACCAGTCTGCTGAGCGAGGAACCTGTTCACATTTCTCTGTAAATTTGTAAATAAACCATTTAACTTTTTCCCTGTCTGAAGAGTGTTTCTGCATGTGGGTTAGATGCTTAGACCCCAACATGACAATTTTTGGTCTATTTAGGTCATTTTATCTAATTTGACCTAAACTACATTAAGTCACTTTACCAAGTCTTTTAAAGAAAAGAAACCTCCAAGGTGTCCATGAAGATCACTATGGACAGAGAGTGAGAGCTAACTGTTGGGTCAGAGGAGAGATATGACCAGATGAGAATAATGATGGACTGACTGCAACAGAGGTCCTCAGTGAAGCCAACTCAAAGGAAAGATCAATACATAAAGTATCATTAGATCATTTTGTTTATTCTACATTTTCCAGTACAATGTTAAAATTGGACATAAAGTTTGAGTAAGTCTAAGTCAGAATATTCTCACATTTAGTCTTTTAGGAGGAGACAAAGTCCTGCTCATCAATAAGATGCTTTCTGTAGTTACTATAAAAAACTGGATTATTAAATTTGCTTGTTTGTTTTATCCAGTTTACTATAGAAGAAAAACTGTCATGCTTTTTGTCAAAAGAAAGCAAGCAATTCATAGCATGGATTTGTTACATAAATAAGATAATAAATTAGTTAATAGTTTAAAATTAGTCTAAGAAAATCCATGTTAAAAAGCAGCTAAAAAGAGTTTGGGTTTATAATAAATCAGAGTGAGACATCTTGTTTTTGTCAGAGCTGTAAGTTAAATACATTAGGTAGTGAGTGCTCTTACTATGAAAATATCTTTGACGTCTTTTTTCTCTGCAAAATCCCGTTTCAGCAATTAAGCTACGGAAAGTGTTCATGTTGAAGTTAAATGTTGTTCTACTCGCTTCTGCCTTGGAAGATATTCGTCTTTGTGAGGATTGCTTTGCTCAGAAAGCACATGAATATGTGCTGAAATTATTTAGTGTAAAGAGTATAAGAAATGTTTTAGATACATTTGTGTTAAAGTTAAGCTAACTAAGGGTAGAATGTGCTGAGGATGTTCAGATACGAATATTAGTCAGTGTTTAGTTTTTTCATCTATTTCAGTTACAAAAAAAGAAATCAAAACCAGATTTTTGAATAAAGGTTCTTCTAAGCAAAGCAAGCCTTGTGTGGAGAACTTTGTTCATGTTGTTGGCTGGCTGTCTAGCTTCACATGGTCACGTGTTGTGAGGACAGCACAGAAACTATACGAGTCAGGCTTGAAAAAGGTCAGTCTGGGCAACTGGATGTGAAGTTTTCTAGAAGATGCTTCTCCTCTCATCCTACATGCTTCTGCAGTTCTAACTAGTGGTGGGAGCACAG